GTGCCTCTGCTAGTAAGGCCTATGCCCGACAAATGCAAGTTGGAAACATGCCACCCCATAAGCAAAAACCGGAGGAGGTTATCACCTTATCTGGTGACAACTTGAGAGGGGTCACCATGCCCTATGATGATACACTGGTGGTCGCTCTAACGAGCGCCAATTATGAAGTAAGAAGGATCCACGTGGACAACGACTCTTCAACCGACATCTTGTTCTACGAGTTCTTTAAGAAGATGAAGCTACCCCTGGATCGACTCCAACTTATCAATGTCCCTCTTGTTGGTTTCTTTAGGGCAGCCATAAAATCGAAAGGGAAGATCACCCTGCCTCTTACAATGGGGACAAAACCTTGATGCACTACCCTGGTGACCAATTTTTTGATTATCAAAGTCAGCTCACCATACAATGCCATCCTCGACTGGCCGACTCTATATGTCCTCAAATTGATGGTATTTTCATACCACCTACAAATGAAGTTTCCCACAGAATATAGCATCGGGGTGGTCCGAGGTGACCAACAACATCAAGGTAGTGCTATGTAACAACACTTAAAGGAGAGAACAAAGAAGCCCGACTAGTAGAAGGGCACAACCTCAGGGACGAACTTGCTAGTCGAGGTCAACCTATGGAAGACCTCATCACTGTACCCCTAGACGAGGTCGAGCCCCAAAAATCTATACAAGTCGGGCCTCTCCTCCCCCACAACATCCTTTTTAAACTAGTAAGCTTCCTTAAAGCTAACGCTAACATTTTTGTTTGGTTTACCACTGGTATGCAAGAAAATGACCCTTCAGTCATTACTCACAAGCTAAGCGTGGACTCGAGCTATAGGCCAATTCGACAAAAGAAGAAGATCTTTACACCAAAACGTTGGGAAACAATCGAAGAGGAGGTGGATAAACTACTCTACATCGATTTCATAAGAGAGGTACACTACTTTGAATGGTTAGTTAACATGGTTATGGTAAGGGAGGCTAATGGTAAATGGCATATATGCATTGATTTCATAGATCTCAATAAAGCCTACCCTAAAAATAGCTTTCCCTTGCTAATGATAGATTGCATCGTCGATGCCACCTCAGGGTATGAACTCCTCAGTTTCATGAGTGCATTTTTCGTCTACAATCATATTAGGATGCACTTCGGTAACAAAGAGAAGACATCCTTCATCATAGAGCACGACACAAGGTGATGGCATTTGGACTAAAAAAATGCCAATACCACCTATCAGGCACATGTTAACAAGGTGTTCAAGGAACAGATCAGCCGCAATGTTGACATCTATGTCAGCAACATGGTAGTAAATAGCCTTAAGGCTAACCGATAAAATCATACATATTGGCGCAACACCCTTAGTTTCTTCAAAAAGAAAGAAAAGAAAAATATAAATAAATATTTGTTGATGTTAGACTATCAAATATTGACTTCATTTCTATGTTTTCCACTGATATAGTGATACCCATTGATTTGTGATTTAGGCTAAGTTTGGAAAGCGTACAAATACAAATGTGTACAGTACAAATACATACAAAATGATACAAAATCCAAGGTTTACACTCTACATATTTGTATTTGTACCCCTTCCAAACTGAGCCTTAAGAAAGAAGATCCAAACAAAACAAGTTTTGCGGGAAAACTTTTTGTGATTTTTTTATCTTCATCACAAAGGTTGAGTTTAGCTATATGTGAATGAATTGATGCACTCACATAGTTTTAAGTTTATATTTGTTAGAGAATAAAACCTATTCAAAGACCTCACTTAACAGGTTAAGCTTTTAGGTTGAATGGTTATTTGAGATTCTCGTCACCCCCATTATAATTAATTAAGTTTCAGCACAAGGTATGGGTGGGCCTTTGCTATCCACGCTTCAAGCCCAATAGACTTTTGTGCAAGGGAGCATGTTAGAGAATAAAACCTATTTAAGGACCTCACTTAACAGCTTAAACTTTTAGGTTGAATGGTTATTTGAGAATATTATATTAGCATTTTAATTAAACTCGTTTTTCCAATTCTTCTCACTTTATCTTAAAGCATGGCATTAGGTCTAGGGTTTATGTATGGAATATCCGCATCCAATCTTTGGATCATTAGTAACTTGAGAACAAGCCCATCTCTCTGTTTGATGTATATATATCCGTTATGCATGGCAATATCCATGATGCAAATGTAATTTGATACAAACAATCATGCTACTATGCATTTTGGTATATACTATTATAGAATAACAAATTAAAATACAAAAAAAATATTAGTATTTGGACAGTATTTTTCTTTTGGTAAGAAAATGTAGCTTTTCTATTTTGAAAAGTAAAAAAAAAAAAAAGAAATTTTGGAAACAAAAGAATCTTTATTTACTAAGAAAAGCAATTTCTCTAACATATATTTTATTACCACTACCTCTATTTTTCTCCTTTTTGTGTGAAAATAACAACAGGAACAGAGCAAAAGCTTCCCAAGTTTATCAAGATGCCCCCACAAAATGATACATATGGCATGTTCGTTTATACGTACGAATAGTTGGTTAGTACCTATTGTGTGCGTCCTACATATATACATTCTTTTCATTAGTTTTCTTGAGTCACTATTGTTATGATGCCATTTTTCTGCAGTTCCATTGGGAAATTCTGATAATTGTCCTCGTCATCTTTCTGCAATTTTATCCAACTTTGTCAAAACTTTTCAAACAGTGAGCGATGATTCTTCCATGAAAATTCCCTCCCCCCACTTTCAGAGCCTATATATGGATTCTTAAACAAACGTATACAACTTCAACGTTTACTCAATATAGTTTGGAAGCTCTCTCTTCCTCTTTATTCAGGTACAGTCGAACTATCCATCAAAGTGCAGATAGATACGTAGAACAGACAATAGAGACCATTCATGGTACTAACAAATACTCTGGCTTCTGTTCTCTGCTCAGCATTTTCACCGCTTAAGCTACAGGACATCGCTAATAGCCAACTTAAATGCAAATTAATTTCAACCTTTTAGCTGTTAGATTGTATAGAGAGAGGACCCGAGAAAAATTAACTTGTTCCACCGACAGTTTTGTTGAGATATTGACTTAACGTTGTGATACACAATTAAAGTGGCCAGACAAATTAAAGCCAGTGGGTGTGGATTCCAAATTCCAAATCGTACCCTAATTATCAAGCTTTAGCTTTATGATAACACCGTACAGTACATGGAGGGGAGAATTATCCTCCTTTGAGGTGAAGACTCATGCATCATCATTCAATGTATCCAACAGGGTTCAGAGAAAAGCTACGTACACTAAAGTCATGGATGGGCTTAGCCTCTGCAGACGACTCATGAGTTCGTGGCTCCCAGAACCGTCGGATATTTGGGTGCATTGGCCGGTCCAGCCTCTCCTTCTGATCATCGTAGGGTCAGAATCCTGAAGGAATCACAAGTAGAGATCATAAATGTCAAAACAAAAGGAACGCGGCACGTAGGGAGGGGCAGTCTGGAATCTGGCCGGTGATATCCATTGCTTTTTATTTTTTTCTTTCTTTTTCAGTTTTTCTCTATGTCTGGTTGCTTCATCTTCTCCAGCACGGACCAGACAAGTGGCGGACGGCGCGGCCGTGCGCCCAGCTTCAACTTTATTCAGTACTAGTCGATTAAAATCACCCCAAGAGAAGCAGAAGCTGAGCCTTCATTAAAATCATCTCTCAGAGACTCTCTCATAGATCTCTGTAGATCTATATTGCATCTGTATTACTTCCTTTTCCTTGCAAGAAGAAGGGACCCCGTCCGTCAGTGTCACCGCTTGACGCCACGCGTTCGAGCGCAGTGCCAGTAGACGGACCCCGAGCGGCATGTGACAACAGTGTCGACATGGTTTTGCGTGCTTCGTCCGTGCGGCTTCTTGACTCAGTTGAGTTAATTAAACATTAACGCCCACTTCCCATTTTCTATTTGAAAAATAATGAAACGTTCTCCAGTTCTCCCCCCTGGTACCCCCGTCTCAGTTTCGCAACCGCAAGCTTGATGGGTAGATTTACATACTTACATCTTGATCAGTCATCAATCCCCCTAGGCGTGGGCCCAAAATGAAGGGTATTTTCGTACTTGGAATTGTTTAATGTTTAATAGCAGAAGCTAGTAGCCTTTTAGTTAATTGTTAATTAGTAGATTATATGGAGAGGATGGTTGGGGTTGGGGTTGGATTGTCTTTTATAGCTTGTTTAGGGTTCTTTACGTGGCCGAGTTCCATGCATGGTTTGTCTGTTGTTTCATTTACACGTTAAGTTTTAGGGATATGTTGCTTAATTAATTGCTTGAATGACCGGTATATTAAAACAACAGATCGTGTCTTGTCACAGACCTCTCAGTCTCTCAGTCTCTCAGTAGTAAATCAATGTAGCCATTGAAGTATGATGTCAGATATACCCTTTTTAGGACGTCAGTTGTCTCACTTCCAACAACTCTGCGTTTGGGATTGGGAGGTTGAGGTGCAGGTGGGTCTGAGTCCAATCAATGGGCCCCTCTGGAGAGTGTTGTAAGATTTGATGATACGAGGGAGACGGTTTGAATTGAAGGGAAGAACTACTGCAAGAGTATGCTGCAGAAGAGCTGATGATGTTTGTCGCACGTGGGAGTAAGTAGATGGCACGTGGACATAACTGCAGAGCGGTTGGGTGGATGTTGGATTTGATACACAGGGAGAGGAGTCAAGTCAGGATGACACACCAATACCATCAATCGATCGACCGCATGTATCTTTGCTTCACGCAAGCGGCTGCTGCTGCAAGGGTGGCCCTGTCCTGTTGGTGTTGGGTTTGGGGCGTGGGTTGCCGTGGCTTTAAAGTTTGAATCAAAAGCTAGTAGTCCCTTCAATTTGAATGTCCCCACCAGTCACCACCTCCTCCTCCTCCACCCAAAGCTACTACATCTTTATTAATCATTTAATTTCTTCTTATTATTTACCCATCAAGAATTATAAAGACCTAATCCCTCCTCCTTCACCTCCTTTTTCTCTCTAAATACCAGTGCATCTCTCTCTCTCTCTCTCAAAGTCTGACCCCACTGCGAGTTTAGTCCGAGGCTGAAAGGAAAACTGCGATCTCTGTAGAATAATACATAGAGAGATGAGTGGGATCAGTTGTAATGGCGGTGGTGGTGGTGGTGGGCCTTGTGGTGCTTGCAAGTTCTTAAGGCGAAAGTGCGTAAAGGGTTGCATCTTTGCACCTTACTTCGATTCAGAGCAAGGGGCGTCGCACTTCGCGGCGGTGCACAAGGTGTTTGGTGCTAGCAACGTGTCCAAGCTCCTCTTACGTATCCCCGTCGACAAGCGTCTTGACGCCGTCGTTACAATCTGTTATGAAGCCTTGGCTCGTATCAGAGATCCCGTTTATGGCTGTGTCGGCCACATCTTCGCCCTCCAGCAACAAGTAAGCTACTGCTACAGCACCCCCGTTTCTCCCTTTCCTTTTTCCTTTCGATAACAATAACAGATCGATCGAAAACAAAATACTAATAATAATAACAAGAAGAAGAACAGTGGGTTTGGTTTCTATTGATCAAGTTGTCAAACAGTTAGGTTTACGGTTGGGACTCGATCTGTTTGCTTTGATTTCTCTTTGGCCTTTAGTACTGTACGTCTAGAGTACTATTTACAGAAAAAGATTGAAAACAAAAGACTGTTCAAAGTGGTTGAACTGCTGGGGGAAGACGAAGATCAATAACGTCAGCCATGTATGAAACATGAACTGATTAATAGGGTCGGGGGGATCGATCATCAATGATCAAACCAAAACCAAACTGGCCTCACTCTCAATCTCATTCCTTCCCTTACTGCTTTGCTTGCCGGAAGTAGCAAGTAAACTTGGTAGCAGCTAGCTCTAGGCATTAATATTCAAATCTTCTACATTTTGACTTTGTTAGTGTATGTTACCGCTTCGAGGCAGAAATCTAACACGGTCTTGAGCCTAATCTTACCTTTGTATTTTAATATTATAATATTACAATTAACTGAATTATGTACATATATAGATGTTAGAGGCTTTACGTCTTCACCACATGGATGGGACCTACACCATTTGTTTTGATCCTGCATCAAAACTTTTTTTTTTTTTTTTACTGCAAAATAAGAAGAAAATTTTCATTGAAGGTTACTGTCCACGGTGATTTCTTTTCAATTTATATTGTAGCAGACAAGAACCAGAAACCTTCTTCTCTAATAATACTGCTGTTATTTATTTGGTAGAATTGGATAAGAACCTTCACCACTTGTGCTTGTGTGGTCATTCAAGCTTTTTAAGTATGAACTAGTCCAATTGTTAGAAAAAAAAAAAATTATTCAGAGAAAAGCTTGTAGGTTGAATAGCTTTGAGCTATTTGATGAAATGGTCTAATGTTGGATCCTTGTGGATGATAGTCTCAATATTATAATTAATTAAATTTTAGTATAAGATATGTATTAAAGAATAAAGATCCATTCAGAAATCTCAACTAGCTAACAGCTTAAGCTTTTTGATTAATTGATTAATGGTTCTTTGACACTAAATAATTACTGCCAATTGCCAAACATATTTCCATTTAGAGAACTCCTGGCTCCAGAGGCTGAAAAGCTTTGTTGAATTGGGGTGCAACACTGTAACTTGCGTAACAGTGTCTCTTTGTTGCAAGGATCGAAAAGGTGATGCTGCATCCATAAATAACCACCCAAATGGACCTATATTTTGACATTAGGGTTGGCAGAACATGCTTTTTCAAAGGGTCTCTGCTTCTTTTTGGAAAAGAGATTGACTGACAATAATCCCCGCCTAAACAAATAGTTACCATCTCTTTATTAGTTAGGTAAAATGCCAATACTAAGCCCAAGTACTCGTCCTTTCAGATGGGTTCCACTATATACAATAATTATCGTCTCTTGTTAAATCTTGGATGAATGCAGTTGTTACAGAGCTTAGTTAGTTTCTTTACCATTTCATTATTCAACCGTCCAAAGGGATATGGATAATATCAGATCTTCTAGATGGGATCTTAAGAAATTATATATACCTCAAAAAAAAAAAAAAAAACTCCTAGATGAAAGACACATTTTTGGAATTTCACTTGGGGTTGATAAGATGTGCAACCGAGTATAGTAAGAAAATACCAGTGATGGTCACATTTGATACCTTGTTTGGTTTGATAGAAAACATGGAATAACAGAAACTTTGAGAAAGTTCATAAGAAATTTCACAAATTTTGTAATAACTTTTTTGTCGTTTCTTTCTATTTTCTGTCAAATCAAACATAGCCATGGCCTTGAGGAACCACACTGATTGGTAGTTTGATAAGATCAGTTCAAGATCTGATTAAGGGTAGGGACTTGATGATCAACATGGTCCTAAAGACCAGTTAACATTTCCTCTTCAGTGACACAGAAAAAACCTTTATTGGGTCAACAAGGTCGGTAAGTAGCATCTGTCCCCACCTGACTTTCCAGTAGTCAGTACTCAGTAGTTTGGTTGCAGCAAATATAAGCATTGGTCAGGGTTTATATTCAACAAAAGAATTAATAGCAGGAAGACGTTAGCTCATTTTAGCAAATAAGCTGAGGGAAAAGTTTGATGGCTATTGGTGTCAATCCAACATGTGGCAATGTGGATTGGGTCCTGAAAGACTGAACATGTTCATTTTTTCACCCTCTACATATTGTTTTAAAAGGCTTAAGTTTTGAGGCGTGAGGCATATGTCTTGAGATGAGGCACATAACTTTGATATTAGGCATAAACCTTTGTCAAAATGAGGCGTAAACCTCAAACCTCAAGGCGTGAGGTGTAGAGTGATGTGTAAAAAAGGTGTAAGTCTCAAATATCAATGATTAATTAGTGATTTAATGCAAAAAAAATATGTATTTTTATAATTTAAAACATATAGAAAAATACTTCGACAATTATGGACCAAATAAAAAAGTAAAAATGAAAAACTAATAAGGTAAATCAAATTCTATTAGTTTTTCTTAGTGTTTAAGATAGTTTAATACAAAACGGATTAATTAAGTTCTTAGTTTCTTTTGAATAAATCAAGTGAGATTTTTCTTATTATTCTAAATGTAATGTCCCGAGTTTGCTATTTTTCTCATTTGTTCTCCTCATTGATTTTTTTATTAATAATAACAACAACAATAGATCAAATCAACTAAGTTGTTTCCTTTCCTCTAAATTATTTTTTTATATTAAGTATAAAATGTTTATAATTTTTAATTGATTAATTATTATTTTATTTAATGATTAAATTTCAAAACCTATTGCTTATAAACCTCTAGTTTATAGATATATCTACCTTCTATCATTTTAATTTAATATATTATATGTTATTTTCATCAATTTACAAACTTTAATTAAATTTTTCTTAAACTTTGAGACTTACGCTTGAAGCTTAAGTCTCACCTTTTTGAGCCATTACACATCAACTACACCTTTAAGAGAGATTTCAGCACTGAAAAACCTAGCCACGTGTATCTGGGTATTGCAATGAATGGGGAAACCATCAACACAATTGAATTGACCACACTCTCACCTGGAGGATCATCCTCATCTGATGGATGGCAGATATTAGAAAATTCAGGACACACACTAAATGATTTAAATAAATTACACATGGATTTGTTAGCTGTAGTCATACAGGGGGATGATATTCCACTATGATCATGAATAGATTTGCATCCAATGTCACTTTCTATTAGGATCTGATAGGTGAGGTTTGATCATTCTTTATATCTTATTAAGATTTTTTTGGCAAAAAGTATATCTTATCAAGATTTTAAAATTGGGGTATCTTACCTATACCCCTACTGGTGATTTGGTTTGTGGCTAAGCCACTTATTCCACCCCCTTACACTGACATGTCATTAATTTTAGTGATTAAAAATACTTAAATGACATTTAAACTTTTCACAAGTTCATTTTTATCCTTTTTGTATGAACAAAAAATGTACCGTAGCCGACAGAAGGCATGACAACATGGCATCCAGCCAGACACCAAGAGCATCTTCCAAGCATAAGATATATTCTCAATGTTTAACTGGATGTAATGCTGTCAACATATTAACAACATGTTTTACTGGTAAAATGACTCTGGATCTCCCTGTGCATAATTAGCATAAAATCACAGGAGATGTTCCCTATGTGGGGATGTGATGTCATGTGGGTGTGGGTAGAGCTCTCGTGGGTGAGAAATCCAAGCTCATTAAAATACCTTTATTTATACTTTTTGAAGAGACAAAGTTTTCCTATCAAAGCATTTAAGTTGGAATAAAAAATTGAAAATATATTTGAACAATAAAATTTGGGAGAATGAATGTTCGGCCCACCATCAAAATTCTTAGCTTCACTGCACAGTTGGAATAGGTGCAAGCTGGGAATTGATGCCAATACACGGGTGGGTATTGGTGTTTAGGGTGGAGGTGTTTGACATTTTGAATTGTTATAGGTTTGCAATGAAATTCAGAATCTGCAATGGGCTGTAGTGTACTTTTTCAATAAAATTTTGATACCACTAAGCTGTATTTAATGTTTATAGATAAGGTTAGTTTTGTTAATTTCAGAATATATGTTTTGGAGGCAAGATTAATGCCTTCATTTTTATTTCCATCTTAGTTCTGACCCTTGCATTAACAAACCCATATAGTTTTATGATTAAAGAAAAACATGAGATTTCTCATTTTAGTTCAATGTGTTTAAAGCATTATTTCAAAACAGAAACTAGAGAAAAAGGTTGTCTTTGTGAGTGTAGGTGGTGAATTTGCAAGCAGAACTGGCATACATACAAGCCCAACTCACAAACATGGAGATTCCACTTCAACCATTGTCTCCGACACAGTCTTCTCCCTCAGCAAGCCTTGGAGCCACCTCTGACTTGTTACCTATTACCAATGAATCAATGTTTTTTGACCCTCTTCAGTTACAGCAGATAGTCGAGATGACAGGTTGTTGGAACCAAACTGACCAGCATACTAAGAACGGTGATCTTTCAGCATTAGCGTGGGAATTTGTGTCCAGATACATGCCGGGAGTAAGATTCCGGCCGTCGGATTCCTGTTGAAGTTTCTGATCAACTATTTGCCAATTTGGGACCAGATTTTTTCTAAACCTCTTTTAGCAAATTGGTGTAACTGGATCTTAATCCTTATGACTAATCAAATCGGCTTAAATATTTGAGTTCAATTAGGGTTTATTCATTAATATCGACTGCGCATTAAGTCCAAATCTCTACAAATGACCTATATTTTTCAGGGATTTTTAGACTGCACTCTACCTCAAATTTCAGATTTGAACTGCTGATCTACAACAATTCAAATTTATGAATACCTCCACCTATGACACCCATACCTGCCCGTGAATTGACACCAATTCCGAGCTGGCACCTACCCCCCAACTGTACGACGGTAAAAACCCCTATTTTTTATTGGTTCACTTTTCATAAAGTGCATTTGCATGCTTAATAAGATGTACTTTTCACCACTTTATATGCATTTTGCCTAAAATTCTCGTGTCTTTATACCGTTTAAGCATAAAGTTCATCAGATAAATTTTCATTTGGATAATGAATAGGCTTGTATATATGTGGACAAGATTGGGCCCGGTATGTGGAGCATGGACTTCATCTATTTGCTCCATGACAAACTTAGAAGATCTTACATCGTGAATGTTAAGAAAAAAGGGAAAGAATTTACATGATAATGTGTAAATGGTTTGAAGCATTTCACAAATACTCCAAGAAAAATCTATTTGAGAGAGAGCTCCTCCCTATGACACATAGTAGGGTAATGACATATGACCCATTAACCCTTAGATTCCTGAAAAAGTACCACTACCAACGCAAAACCTTATATTTTGTATTATTTTGTATGTATTTATACTGTACTAGTAATTAAGCACATGCGTTGCACGGGAGAAATTTTTCTTTATATTAATTACTTGAATTTTAGATATATCATAGCTAGGATAGAAATTTAAAATTTAAAAAAGTAACCATATGATTAAAAATAAACTTAAATATTTATTATTCAATTATGACATCATGCGTTTGTTTGAAAAGTTTGATCATTGACCCACCATCTACATAACAAATAGCATTGCTTTTGGATTAGTTTTAAATTAGGGAAAATTATAGTCGGAGCCCGCTATACATTTAAAATTAGGTTACAAGTTGATCCATAAACCAACAAAACTCTGACAAATGGCTCTACACTTCAAGTTATAAAAACCCTCGCCATGTCATCGGAGGGTTATCTAGCTATTGCCAACATGGGACTCTTAATCCATATTGGACACAATAAAAAGCTTATACTGAAATTGCCCTTTAATGTTGCATGATTAGAAAATAAAAAAAAATGGTTTTTAGTTTCTCTCTCTCTCTCCCTCAGACTCTTTCACTCATAGTCATCTTTATCTACTCAACGACTATGTGATTTGAAAATAAATAAAAATGGTTTTTGGTTTTTGTATTTACGTTCTCTATATCAATTTCTCTCATTCTCTCTCTCTACATATCGTTCTCCCTTAATCTCTCTCATTCTCTTTCTCAGTTGATCTCTTCTTCTCCCTTAATTTCTATCGTTCTCCCTCAGTTTTTTTATTTTCTTAATTTCTTACACACTTATATGGTATTAATTATATTGTATAAAAGAACATGAAACCAACTTGGTATGGTTAAAAAAATTATTATACCAATTTGATAAATTTCACAAGAAATTATTGGCTATGAAATTTACACCATTTGGAGAACGATAAAGATTTAGGGAGAATGAGATTTTGACCGAGAGGGAGAATGAGGGAGAAAATGAGAAAGATTGAGGGAGAACAATAGAGAAAGAGAAAGTTTTTTATTTGGCTCCAGACCGAAGCAGAGAGAGTGGGAGAGATAGAGGGAGCGGGAGATTGAGAGATGACTGTGAGAGTGGGAGAGAAGGGAGGGAGATCGAGAGACAGAGAGAGTAGGAGAGAAACTGAGATCCTATTTTTGATATAGGTTTTCTGTTGTGTCCAACATGGAATAAAAGTCTCATGTTGGCAACAGCCACATAAGCCTCTAATGACATGGTGGGGGTTTTTATAATTTGAAATGTAGAGCTGGTTTTCAGAGTTTGGTTGGTTTCTGGACCAACCTGCAACCTAATTTTAAATGTACAATTGACTTTGACTATAATTTTCGCTTTAAATTATATATTTCATTTACATTATATAAAATACTTTTTACTTATCACACTTAATTTATGTTTGTCTATAGTATCATTTTACTCAAACCTTTAACCCACCATCTAAAAGTAAAAGTTGTTTAATTTCTAGGTTGACATTAAATTTTGTATTACATTTCCATCATTGATAAAATTATTTCTTATGTATAAAACTTATTTTTGTTCAATATAATGAATGTACAATATTAGAGATGTACCCATTATTTTATTTTTTATAAATATATAACATTTGATATGTACCCAAAATTTTCTTTTATTATTTGACTATGACATCATTTAATTTCTAGGTAGATTTTGAAATTGAATTTCCATTTTATCATTAATAAAAATACTTCTTACATTTCATAATTATTTATTTTATTTTTTATTATTTAATTATGGCATTATTTATTAATCTATTTGATCCCAAATGGCCAAATTGCTTGCCCACCACTAGGAGGGAAGAAAATGGTTTTGTTTTCAAATTACTTTTCAAAGTATTTATTTTTATACTATTAAAATTAATATTTTGGATTTAATTACAAGAATTTAACGATGAGAAAAATATATTTTAAATATAGGATTTAATGAGAGAGAATAGGAAAATATTTTTATTTCCAATTGGTTTTAAATTTTACATTCCATTTTCATCATTAATAAAAACATTTCTTATTTAACATACTTATTATTGTTTAATATGTATGTTAAAAATGTTCTCATTTTTTTTTAATTTCTATTTTTTCATTTCGTATATTTTTAATTTTATTATTTAATCGTGGCAGCATGGATTAACCCATTTGACCCAAAATGATTTAATTTCATACCACCACTTAGGTGAAAACACTATTTTTGCAAGGTAAATTTTAAAGGTATAAGCTTTTATGTTATTGGAATTATTAATTTATTAAGTATGAATTTAATTAATAGAACTTAATGATGAGAAGAAATAAAAATGACTTAAATATATGACTCAATGAACATGAATGCAAGTTAATAACTTAAATGTTGGATTTAATGAGAGAGGATTGAATGCATTGAATATCTTTAAATTACCTCTTTTCAACTCATTTAATATCAAGAACCAATTACCCTATTTGCTCTCATTTTTTATCATTATATTTAAATATAGAGGGGTAAATATTGTCCTTAGAAAATTCCAGAAATATTCTTGAAGTCATTTGTACTTTTTAAAGTAGTATAGATATATTTGTATTTATACTCTTTTCAAACCCTTTATTTAGGTTGGATTAAGGTTGGCCCAACTTCCCAACTCAAGTTGGGATCCAAATGGGATGTGATTTTGTAATGTAGTACCATCCTTTCATGTAGAGAAACCCTATTCGTGGAGAGATGAATTTATAGGTTCATACACCAGATAAAAAATCCAATTCAAATGAACTTAAACACCTGCACTCTAAAGAGAAAAATCAAGGATGATGATGGCTTAGAAAATTTCCTGGGCTGACTAATATTATGTGTAAGGGTGTCAATGGACCAGTTTTGGATTGGACCCCTTTCAGTCCAAAATCAATCTGGACGGACTGGACGAACCAACAAGACATATTGGACTGGACCAATCCGATCCAAAATATTTATTAGATTGGATTGGACCTGGTCCATTCGTAACAAATTTATATTGGATTGGGTTGGATTAAGCCAGTATCTGGTCCATTGATATAAGATACGAATATATGTATCGATGGACCGGGTTTGGGTTGAAACCTATCTAAATCAAAATGAATTTGAACAAATTGGACGGTCCAGACATTGAATTAGACCGGTCCAAATTTGTCCAAAGTATTTATTGGATTGGATTGGACCTGACCCGTTTATAATGAGCTCACATTGGACTGGATCGGATTGGACCAAATCCAGTCCAATTGACACCCCTGATTACGTGATAATGGACCCAGCCCATTAATATATACATGGGTTGGGCTCTTTTATAAAAAGTAATGTAAGGACTGGGATATGATTCAAATGAACGCCTAGAAAATTAGTAATACAGATCCATAATCGTCCTTCGTCCTTATCGAATTGTTATTTTAGGATTTAGAAGAACGTTTTGTGGGCTGAGTCCTGCCATATTTCATTCTGCCTCTGAGCTGTCTGAGCGCTAGGGATCTGCTACAAACAATATATGTACAACAGGCTCCAAAGCCCAATCTGAATAAACACCTCAGTTTCTGGTAATCTTCACTTTTGATTGGGTTTCTTAGCCCATTATACACGTTGGTTTATAGCAGATCCAGAGTGGAGTTGGTTCCCTGTCCTATTCAATTCCCCTTGTATCATCTATCATGCAAGATAAGGTAAATCATGGATTACAAATCAAATCTAAGCCCAAGGACACTCCTTTCCATTGATCAAAAGCTTGGTTCATGGTAGCAATGCCTTGGCTTGTTATAATCATACATGCTAAACTATGTTACAAGTTGCAAATTTCAAGGTTTAAAAGTCTGGATATTAAACTTTGTTCAAGTAAATGTCTTTCTTCGTACAAGTAATGTAAATTTGCAAATCATGCTTCTAACAGTAACTAGTCTTTGAATTCTAAAAGCTTTCAACTTGGCAATGATTCTGAGACTAAAAACTTTTTTATTCTCTTCTGAGAACCCAAGTCAATATTGTAGTTAGCATCTGATTAGCATGGGTCTCTAAGCTTCTATTTTCACTTCTGCAAAGAAGAAACTGAAGGGGAGAAAAGATTCTCTATACATTAATAATTATAAGGGACAATGATTTTACATGGGTAGAAATAGTAAGAAATGATTTAAATGCCAATGAATGGATATGATATTAAATATAATGGATTGGCAAAAAAGATTCATTTACCTGGCCCCATAGGCTTGGACAATGATTATGATGATGATGTAGGTATGATACAGGAAGCACTTTGAAGTTTGAACCTCCCCCCCTGGAAATTCCGGGCTTGGGCCTGGGTTTTGTGTTCAGGCCCGGCCT